ATGCAGACATGCAACATCTACTGAAGACTCATTCCATGGAGAAATAACCGCCTTTTGGGATGGAGTTGCGGATTCAGATTACCAAAGATGAATTGGAAGGAAGCACATGAGGGAGTGTCCTGTGGCGATGCTGTGTTCTGTGATCTAGATAAAGGATTTGGGTTACACACGCGTGTGAGTTGGTAAACTCGTTGAATGGCACACTTAAGAAATATGCATTTCACTGTTTGTGAGTGTTCATTGTGCATGTCTGTAAATTCTACTGAGTGTGTAAAAATTTTTGTAATAAAATGTTCAGGGAAAGAATCAGTGAGAGAGCCAGTAAACACAGGAGGGAAGAGCCTTGTGAAAGGCGCCTTGACGTTGCTTGGACTCAGGAGGCCCAGCCCGGGTAAGGGAGGGCTTTGGGGACACATGAGCTGAGCTGTCACCAGGTGCTTGACCAGCCGTTGGAAGACGGCTGCATTTTACCTTGTGTGGACACAGTCGGTTGAACTGAGCTCAAAAACATGTTTTTTTTCTGTCTTACTTTCTGAATTTAACTTTATTTTAAAGTACTCTCAAAATTACAGAAAAGTTGCAAAAACTATAAAAAACTTTTTTCTGAACGATTTGAAAACTAGATGCTAACATGAACATCGTTCCTGAACACTTTAGTGTGTACTCCCTACAAACGAGAACATTCTCCCTCTTAACTGCAATACAACCTTCAGATCAAAACATTAACATCAGTACATTACGATTACCTAATGCTCAGACCCCATTCACATTTCTCCCATTCTTCTTGGTTAATTGTAGCTCAGAGATCATGACACAAATCACTGTATTGTCCCCTTTCTGTGACTCTGGTATTTGGTGGGACACTGACAGGTTCTATTAGGGACAGCTTGTCAGGTACCTTTAAAAAGTTTTTTTAATTCAAATTTAGATTAAAAAATTTTTTTAATTTCTTTTAATTTTTAAATTTTAAATATACATTAAATAAAATTTACCATCAACCATTTTTCACTGTACACTTCAGTAGTGCTGACTACATTCACTTTGTTGTGCAACCCATTTCCAGAACTATTTTCATTTTGCAAAACTGAAACTCTATACCCATTAAACAACTTCCGCTTCTCCCCTCCACCCACAGCCTAGCAACCTACATTCTACTTTCCCTCTCTTTGAATTTGACTACTCCAGGTCCTATAGTATTTGTCTTTTTTGATTGGCATATTTCACTTAGCATAATGTCCTCCAGGCTCATCCATGTTGTAGCATGTGTCAAAATTTCCTTCTTTTTTAAGGTGAATAATATTCCATTGTATGGATATACTACATTTTGTTTATCCATTCATTCATCAGAAGACACTTCAGTCACTTCCACCTTTGCCTGTTGTGAATAATGCTGCTGTGAACATGGGTGTACAAATATCTTTGAGTGCATGCTTTCACTTCTTTTGTTTATATACCCAGAAGTGGAATTGCTGAATCATATGGTAATCCTATTTTTAATTTTTTGAGAAATCACCAGAGTGTTTTCCATAGCAGCTGCATCGTTTTACATTGCCATCAGCAGTGCACAAGGCTTCTAATTTCTCCACGTCCTCACCAACACTTTTCTTTCTCTCCTTTTTTTCTTTCTTTTTTGATAGTAACCATCCTAATGAGTGTGAGGTGGTATTTTGATGTGGTTTTAATTGCATTGGAAGTCTTTCTGGGTGTCATTATTGATTTCCAGTTTATTATTATTGAGATCAGAGAACATACGTGATATGATTTCACTCCTTTTAAATGTATTTGAACTTGTTTTACAGACCGGAATGTGGTCTATCTTGGTGAACGTACGTGTTCACAGAAGAGAATGAGTCTTCAGTAGACGTTGCACATCTGCTCTGTGAATGTCCATTAAGTCGAGGTGGTTGACAGTGCTCAAATCTTTGATGACTTTACTGATGTTTTTGTCTAATTGTTCTATCAGTTGCTGAGGGAAGGGTCTTATAATTTCCTTTTAGGTTTTTCAATTTTTGCTTCATGTGTTTTGAAGCTTTGTTGTTGGGCACATACACATTTATGATTATCATGACTCTGGTGAATTAACCCTTTTAACACTACAAAAGGCCCCTCTTTATCTGTGGTGTTATCATTTGTCTTAAATTACCTTTGTCTGATAGGAAGATGGTCACAGAGTTTTCTAACTGTCTGCGTGGTATATCTTTTTCCATCCCTTTGCTTGCAGTGTATCTGTGTCTTGCTTTTAAATTGCATTTTTAATACTATGCAGTTGAGTTTTGTCTTTTCATCCATTCTAACCGTTTCTACCATTGAGTTGAAGTGTTTCATGCATGGATTTACAGGTAATGTAATTACTGGTATGGTTGAAATGGTTCTGCAATTTTATGATTTCTTTTGTTTGTGCACTCCATTTCTTCTCTGTTCCTCCTTAACTCAATGTTAATTGAGTATATTTTAGAACTTCATTTTAATTGTGTATTGGCTTTTTATCTATAATATATACAATATTTATATGCAGTTGCTGTAGGGATTACAGTAAACACTTTTTTTTTTTTAAAGATTTTATTTTTTCCTTTTTCTCCCCAAAGCCCCCCGGTACATAGTTGTGTATTCTTCGTTGTGGGTTCTTCTAGTTGTGGCATGTGGGACGCTGCCTCAGTGTGGTCTGATGAGCAGTGCCATGTCCGCGCCCAGGATTCGAACTAACGAAACACTGGGCTGCCTGCAGCGGAGCGCGCGAGCTTAACCACTCGGCCACGGGGCCAGCCCCTACAGTAAACACTTTTTAAAAAATTTTAAATTTGTAGTAAAATGTGCATGACATGAAATTTGCCATTTAAGTCTTTAGGTATGGCGTTCAGTGGCATTAAGTACATTCACATTGCTGTGCAACCACCACCACCACCATCCACCCACAGAACTTTCTTTTTCTTTTCAAACTGAAACCTTTACTCATTAAACAATAACACTTTACTTCTGTTTCCCCCCAGTCCCTGGCAAGGAACATTCTACTTCCTATTTCTATGAATTTGACTACTCTACGTACTTCATATAAGTGGAATCCTATGTGTTTGTCTTTTTATGACTGACTGACTTCACTGTGCATAATGTCTTGAAAGTTCATCTATGTTGTGACATGGTGAGAATTTCCGTCCTTTTTTGAGGCTGAATAGTATTCCGTTGTATATATACCGTATTTTGTTCACCATTCACCTATCGATGGACATTTGAGTTGCTTCCACCTTTTGACTATTGTGAATAATGCTGCATGAATGTGCATTTGCGTATCTCCCTTTGAGACCCTGCTTTTAATTCTTTTGGATATGTACCCAGAGATGGAATTGCTAAATCATATAGTAATTCTATTTTTAATTTTTTGAGAAACCCTCAAATTTTGTGGAAACTTTTTCCATAGGGGCTGCATCATTTTACATTCCCACCAATGGTGCACATGTTTTCCAATTTATCCACGTCTTTGCCAACACGTGTATTTTCTCAGTTTCTTCCTTGCCTTTTTTTTTTAATAGTGGCCATCCTAATGGGTGTGCAGTGGTATCTCATTGTGGTTTTGATTTGCATTTCCCTAATGATTAGGGATGTTGAGCATCTTTGCATGTGCTCATTGGTCATTTGTATATCTTCTTTGGAAAATGTCTAGTCAAATCTTTTACCCATTTTTCTTTTTTTTAAAGATTGGCACCTGAGCTAACAACTGTTGCCAATCTTTTTTATTTTTTCTTTTCTCCCCAAATCCCCCCAGTACTGCATGGTTGTATATTTTAGTTGTGGGTTCTTCTAGTTGTGGCATGTGGGATGCTGCCTCAACATGGCCTGATGAGTGGTGCCATGTCCGCGCCCAGGATCCGAACCCTCGGCCGCTGCAGCAGAGCGCGCAAACTTACCACTCGGCCATGGAGCTGGCCCCCCATTTTGCCCATTTTTTAATCAGGTTGCTTATTCTTGTGCACAGGAGTTCTTTATATATTCTGGATATTAACTCCTGATCAGGTATATGATTTGCAAATATTTTTCCCATTCTGTGGGTTGCCCTTTCACTCTGTTGATTCTTTTCTTTGATGTATAGGAGTTTTAAAATTTTGATATAGCCCAATTTGTCTATTTTTTTCTTATGTTACCTGTGCTTTTGGTGTCATATCCAAAAAATCCTTGTCAAACCCACAGTCGTGAAGAGCTACCCCTATGTTCTCTTCTAAGAGTTTTATAGTTTTCATTCTTATGTTTAGATCTTTGACACATTTAAGGTTAGCTTTTGTATATTATATGAAATAAGGGTCCAAGTTTATTTATTTTTTTTTTTGCATATAGATATTCAGTTTTCCCAGGATTGTTTGTTGAAAAGATTTTCCTTTCCCACTGGGGAAGTGGTTTTGGTACCCTTTGTCAAAAATCATTTGAACGTATGTGCAACAGTTTATTTCTGGGCCGTCTCTTCTGTTCCATTGGTGTAGATGTCTGCGGTACCTTTTTAAACCAGAAATTCATTATTTAATGTTTGATTCTGCATCCTGATTTTTTTCAAAGCTTGCATATTGTATGACTCTCATTTGTAAATTTTGTGTGTGTGTGTGTAAGCAAGAGAGGGAGAGTGAGTCCTTACACATATGGTGATACAGTGGAACTAAGTAAGACAAAATATTAATGGATGCTATTTCTAGTTGAGAATACACATGTGGTTTTTGAGAAACCACATGTGGTTTTTGTATTCTTATAAAAACTTAACTTGCTCATATTTTCTGGAATAAACATGTTTTCTTTCATAATGAGAAAAGGATAAAGAAGAGTTTTTCAAGTGTATGTTACTGGCTAGTCCCGAATCATGAAAGGACAAACATAGGTACAAAAGAATATTTGGGAGTTTAGAGCTGGAAGAAAGGTGGAAGTTCTGTTTAGTATGGGAGGTGGAGTGAAGAGAATGTGAAACAGATCCTGGGAGGGTGAGGGTCTGGAAGCCGCTCATGCCCGTCCCTGCTTTGTCCCCACAGGGCCCAGCTGCCTCAGCCATGATCATCCGGCAGGAGAGAGTTCACCAGCAGTTAGCGGCCCCACAGATGTCCACCAAGTGTCCAGCAGGTACTTTCCAAGACTGATCTCTAACGCTTTACCCAGCCTGCCTCCATGCCCTTCCAGTCTTCTATTCCTGCACTTCCTGGGTCTTCATTCCCCAGGGGTTTACTGGATGTCCTCTGTGTGCCAGGCACCGTGCCAGTGGAGGGCAAGAGGCCCCTGCCCTTGGAGCCCGCCTTCTGGGATGGTCCCCAGAGGACGAACGTGACAGTCAGAGAGGCGTGCTAGGAACCGTGAGGATAACTGAGTGATGGGTGGGACAGAGGCGGGGCTGGTGAGGCCTCCCAGGGATGTGACTTTCGTGCAGAGAGCCAGGCAGGTGCTCCTGAGAGGACCCCCAGGAGACCAATAGGAAACTGTCGCCCCTGGGTGGGGCTTGTTTGAGTGAAGCTAGGGGGCAGCTGGGGTGAGTGGAGGGTGAAGAGGTGAGAGGGACAGCTGGGGCAGACCACACAGGGAGCACGGGATTCATTTTGTGAGCGAGGGACATCTTGGAAACGTTACAGGCAGAGGACTGCTGGGATCAGATTTGCGTTTCAAGCGCACACTCTTGGACTGAAAGGGGGCGAGACTGGGCCAGGTGGAGGGCCTTTCAGGCATGACTGAAGTACACCCCTCGGTTTCCTATTTTATAATTAAGTCACTGATTCGCTCAGATGGTATTTTCTTGTATGAAGAGAGTAAGAAAGACACTTTATTTTCCAGTAGTCTTCTTAGTTGCCCCAGCACCATTGTTACATAATCACATTGTTATCATTGATATCAACTACCATCATGATAATTCATTATTAAGTAAGGTTTGTGTAAGTAGATTTTTTAGAATATCTTTCAATATTGATAAAAATAAATCTGGAGGCTCATTGACAGCGTATAGAAGGATTATGTTTTTTTGTCATTTCTCCCCGTTCTGCAATGTCTGCCTTTTAACTGGAGAGTTTAAGCTATTTATAGTTAACAGGATTACTGATAAGGTGAGACTTCCTTCTGACCTTTAGGTACTTGCTTTCTTTCTGTCTATGTGTTTTGCTCCTCAATTCCTCCATTACTGCCTTTTTTTCTGTTTAGTTAACTTTCTGCAATACCATTTGGATTCCTTTCTTCTTTCCTTTTCTGTGTATTTTTTACTTCGCTTAGTGGTTACTTTGGAGATTCCAGTTAGCATCTTAAGCTGATAGAAACCTAGTTTTTATAATCCTGACCTAATTTCAGTGGAATCCCAACACTGCTCCCGTATGCATCTCCATCTCTGCTACTCCGTATTGTTGTAGATCACAACTTTGTACATCGTGTGCCCATTAACATAGAACTTACGGCGATGTGTATGGGCGCCAAGCTGACAAGGCGTGGACTTGTGATGGTTGATTTCACGTGTCAGCTTGGTTAGGTCGTGGTACCCAGATAGTTGGTCAGTTTTCTGTATGTTTCTGTGAAAGTATTTTTTTTGGGTGAGATTAACATTTAAAATCAGTAGACTTTGAGTGAAGCTTATTAGCCTCCTTAATGTGAATGGGCCCCATCTCATCATCTGAAGGTATGCAGAGAAAAAGACTGACTTCCCTGGAGGAAAAGGGAGTTCTGCCAGCTGACCGCCTTCAGACTCAGCCTGCAACTCTTCCCTCCTGGCTGACTCCACAGAGTTTGAATTTGCTCACCTCCACAATTGTGTGAACCAATTCGTTCAAATAAAAATCTCTTTCTATATACACTCTTTCTCTCTCTCTACTGGTTCTCTTTCTCAAGAACCCTGACAAGTACAGAATTTTAGATTTTCAAATCTTTTCGACCATACTTGATCTCCAAATAAAGACAGTAAGAAGCTCATCGTTCTGTCTAATGTGATAAACTGCTGCACACATCTGAGAACACACTAACCCTTTCCCCAGAAGAGGACCCAGTGTCCTTGGGTGATGTTTACTCTTGGCCTTGATGTCCGCTAACTTAAATACTGTGATGTAAGTTAACAATACTTAAATACTGTGATACAAAGTCAATACGTCTTGTGTTATATGATAATAGGATAAGAGAGGGAAGAAAACAAAGATATTTGCTTAACATGTAGGCATACAAAAAATATGCCAAACATAGTAAAGATGAAATGTTCATAACAGTCACAGTCCTTGTTTCTGTAACTGGCCACACAGTCATAGCTGGTATTTATAACTCCCTTCCTCCACTACCCATTCCATTTCCCCTGCCCTCAGCAAGCACCTCAGCTAATCATGACTCTCTGTGTGATAGGGTGACCCAAACCTTCATTCTTGAAGGGTCTGAGTCATTAGGAGGCCTGCCTGAATTGAGTTGTTATCGATTTCCATTGACTTTAATCACAGGCACAGCAATACAAGAAACACCCTGAGGGATCCCCTGTATTCCAGACATGATCTTCCTTACCTCCACGGTGTAGTACTCCTCCAGCTTCTCCTTGGTAAGCAGGGTCACTCGCCCCAGTCAGCACAGTAACTTCTTCTTTGCTTGTTAACTCAGAGGCATGAGGAGCTCAAAGTGGCTGGGTGGCAGTCTATTTTTTTTAATTTAATTTATTTTTAATTGTAGTAAAATTGGATTATAACATTATATAGCTTTCGGATGTACATCATAATATATTTCGAATTCTGTGTAGATTACATCATGTTCACCACCAAAAACTAATTATAGTCCATCCCCTCACATGTGAGCCTAATCACCCCTTTTGCCCTCTCCCCCATCCCCCATGGTAACCACCAATCCATTCTGCGTTGCTATGTGTTTGTTTCTCATTGTTTTTATCTTCTACTTATGAGTGAGATCATATGGTATTTGACTTTCTCCCTCTGACTTATTTCACTCAGCATAATACCCTCAAGGTCCATCCATGGTGTTACAAATGCCCGGATTTCATCCTTTCTTATGGCTGAGTAGTATTCCATTGTGTATAAATACCACATCTTCTTTATCCATTCGTCCTTTGATGGGCACCTAGGTTGCTTCCAAGTCTTGGCTATTGTGTATAATGCTGCAATGAACATAGGGGTGCAAGTATCTTTATGCCTTTGCATTTTCAAGTTCTTTGGATAAATACCCAGCAGTGGGATAGCTGGATCATATGGTAGATCTATTCTTAATTTTCTGAGGAATCTCCATACTGCTTTCCATAGTGGCTGCACGAGTTTGCACTCCCACCAGCAGTGTACAAGGGTTCCCATCTCTCCACATCCTCTCCAACATTCGTTGTTTCCTGTCTTGTTAATTATAGCTGTTCTGACCGGAGTGAGGTGATACCTCATTGTAGTTTTGATTTGCATTTCCCTGATAGCTAATGATGTTGAGCATCTTTTCATATGCCTGTTGGCCATGTGGATATCTTCTTTGGAGAAGTCTCTGTTCAGATCTTTTGTCCATTTTTTAATTGGGTTGTTGGCTTTTTTGTTGTTGAGCTGTGTGAGTTCTTTGTATATTTTGGATATTAACCCCTTATCTGATATGTGGTTTGCAAATATCTTCTCCCAATTGTTAGGTTGTCTTTTCGTTTTGTTGATGGTTTCCTTTGCTGTGCAGAAGCTTTATAGTTTGATGTAGTCCGATTTGTTCCTTTTTTTCTTTTGTTTCCCTTGCCTGGTCAGACATGGGACTTGAAAATATGCTGCTAAGACCAATGTCAAAGAGCATGCTGTCTATGTTTTCTTCTAGAAGTTTCATGGTTTTGGGTCTTACATTCAAGTCTTTAATCCATTTTGAGTTGGTTTTTGTGCATGGTATAAGGGAATGGTCTACTTTCATTCTTTTGCATGTGGCTGTCCAGTTTTCCCAACACCATTTATTGAAGAGACTCTCCTTTCTCCATGGTATGCTCTGCTCTTGGCTCCCTTGTCGAATATTAGCTGTCGATAAGTGTGTGGGTTTATTTCTGGGCTCTTGATTCTGTTCCATTGATCTGTGTGTCTGTTTTTGTGCCAGCACCGTGCTGTTTTGGTTACTATGGCTTTGTAGGACATTTTGAAGTCAGGGAGTGTGATACCTCCAGCTTTGTTCTTTTTCCTCAGGAATCCTTTGGCTATTCGGGGTCTTTTGTTGTTCCATATAAATTTTAGGATTCGTTGCTCTCTTTCTGTGAAAAATGTGGTTGGAACTTTGATAGGGATTGCATGGAATCTATAGATTGCTTTAGGAAGTATGGACATTTTAACAATGTTAATTCTTCCAATCCAAGAGCACGGAATATCCTTCCATTTCTTTGTGTCTTCTTCGATTTCTTGCAACAACATTTTATAGTTTTTGGTGTACAGATCTTTCACCTCTTTGGTTAAATTTATTCCTAGATATTTTATTCTTTTTGTTGCAGTTGTAAATGGGATTGTATTCTTTTTTGTTGTTGTTGTTGTTGTTTTTTGTTTGTTTTGTTTTTGTTTTTTTTTTAATTTTTTTTTATTGAGTTATAGGTTACAATCTTGTGAAATTTCAATTGTACATTAATGTTTGTCAGTCATGTTGTAGGTGCACCACTTCACCCTTTGTGCCCACCCCCCACCCCACCTTTCCCCTGGTATCCACTAAACTGTTCTTGGTCCATAGTTTTAAATTCCTCATGTGAGTGGAGTCATACACAGATTATCTTTCTCTCGCTGGCTTATTTCACTTAACATAATTCTCTCAAGGTCCATCCATGTTATTGCAAATGGAATGATTTTGTTCTGTTTTGCAGCTGAGTAGTATTCCATTGTATATATGTACCACATCTTCTTTATCCATTCGTCTGTTGCTGGACACTTAGGTTGCTTCCACGTCTTGGCTATTGTAAACAGTGCTGCAATAAACATTGGGGTGCACAGGACTTTTGGGATTGCTGACTTCAGGCTCTTTGGATAAATACCCAGTAGTGGGATGACTGGATCGTATGGTAGTTCTATTTTTAGTTTTTTGAGGAATCTCCATACTGTTTTCCATAGTGGCTGCACCAGTTTGCATTCCCACCAGCAGTGTATGAGGGTTCCTTTTTCTCCGCAACCTCTCCAACATTTGTTGCTATTAGT